GTGATAGGATTGAATCATATTAACCGTAACAATTTTTTTTGTTTCTTTCTATTTAAAATATTATTGATCTTATGCATTTTTTCATTCATATAATATAACCTATGAGGAAAAGACACTGACTTCAAGTACATGTCTATGAGGAAGACACTGGCTTCAAAACATGTCTATGAGGAAGACGACCGACGGCGGGAAAACGATGAGTCCGGCCAATAGAAGGGGAGGGAGATTTATCCGGTGAAGCCATGGAATCTAATAAGAAGTGCAGCGTGCAAAGAACATGGTAATCACTATAACAGTTTGAATCAAACCAATAACGGATATGTTGCAATTGAGGAGACGTTAGTGAATCCGTTGCCGTTGAGAAACTATTCAAGAGGTGGAGTGGTTGAAGCAGAGACGGCGAAGGAGATGCGGTCAACGTTCTCCTTGAGGCTCTCGAAGAAAGAGCTCATAGCGGTGTTAGGTCACCGACTAACGCGGTGGTCTAAGAAACGACCAAGTACCGTTCAAATAAAACTCAGATGTGTAAGTCTCGAACCTTTGTGATTTGTTCCCAAATTTGTTTGATTTTTTTATTGGTCTGGCGAAAATCTACTTTCACCGAGCACAAAATTTTGAATCGTAACCATGCACCTAGCATAATTGGATGAGCCTTTGTAATTGGAAATTACAAAAATCTGACTTTTGTGGCTTTTAAATTTGGAGAGATGATGGATGAATTTGATGATATGCAATTCAGTTGCCGGTTAAGTTTCAGAGCAAATGTCAATATCTGAATTAGTGTTTGGGTCAAGTAGTTAGTAATCGACGCGCACTTACGGTTACTATTAAATATACTATTAGATAATTAGTAACTGATACACACTCAGACATGGAACGTTTATCTTTCTCTTACTCCGAACCAGGAGTAAGTATGAACATATTTGAATATAAATAACAAATTTAGTGTCATGTTTTGTATTAAGTAATGAGTTATGAGCAATTGTAAAAATGTCATTTTTTGTGTGTACATTTGCAAGAATGCCATTTAAGGGTGTTCATTTGCAAAAATGCC